GATCGATACAATAACCAATAGACCAAGCTCAGCCTGACAAACTGCTCTTCAATTGTAAATCTAATGTTAAAATTTTACTTTTTATTTCTGCAAAAACCTTGTGATTGTTAAAAAATTCAAAGCTGTCATCCAAGTAATTTCGCTAAAGAAGAGATTTATAGATTATATAACTCTTATTAAGTCATTCCTGTTCTTGATTTGAAAAAAAAATATGAATATCAAACTAGTTTAATTAAAGTCGTAATGAAACTGAGAAGGATTTACATGTAGGACGAGCAATTTTTTTACTTTAGAATATACATACTAATTCTATAGTCAATAAACAGTTTTGTTGTCAGACGCATTTATTGTGGAGTTTCATATTTGTGCAAAAATTTTAGTAAATAACCATTTTGATGGTTTGAATACATAAGAGTAAATATCGATAGCACTGGTATGTCACAGTTCACAAGAAATTTTCAAAACTCTTGATGTCGTTTTAACACGTTATTATAAAAATACTGTCTCTGGCATTGTTTCTTAACAAATTACATATAGTGCAATCATACGATCACTCTTTTGGGTAAGCATCCATATTTTGCCCATTTTCGTTCTTGATGAATAAATTTGACTTATCCGAGGGTAAATACTCAAGAAAATCTTTAAATACTTCTTCACGGATTAATTATGATAAGCCTTTGTTTGAATAAAACATGAAAGAGTTAACACTCTATAAAAATACAATAATTTCAAGACAAGGTATTTTGTATTTCCAACCAGAAAGGCGCTTTATGTGAAACATGGCTAAAAGGCTAACCAGTAATCCCTAGGTTTCAGGCATTATCACCCCTAATTTAGAGCTGCTGACTAAAGGAGGTCAAATAATCAATAAACATGTCACCTATGGGTGTACTCGAATGACTGTTATAATACCCCAACTGGTGCTCAACGGCATATCACTCCTTGAAACGCGACTTTCAAATCCATAGCCTAGCATAATATCCAGTCAAGGCAATTCAAGGATTGGATAAATCGTGCCGTGAAGAAATATCTTTAGTTTTTTGACAAACTTTGTTTAAGCAGTTACTATTGTATAGACATTAAACACGAGAATAGATTAACTAGACAAATTTCCGCCTTGATTGACCTCTTGAAAACAAAAAGAAACTTAAATTCGATGACGAGGAACCCACACTTGAGACTAATAATGGCTGGAGACGGCTTGAATGGGTAATGAAGAAAAACTTTAATATAACAGCAAATGTACAACGTTTCGACAAGGTTTTGTCACCATCAGGAAAGGAATATAAATATTTATCAGAAAAATCGTGTCTTTACTTCTACACTTTCAAGTCAGACCAGAGAAGTAGTATTATTCCACTGGTCGTAGATTACGTATGCCAGTGATCGTCATCGCTATACAAATTCAGATAGATATAGCTTTAGCTCACATTAACTTTTAGAAACCTCTGTTCCACCCCTACACATGGGTATGACCAACCCCTCAGAGAAACGACATAGAAACTTAGCCAAAAGAATACAAACTACATGGAATGACCACTGTGGCATGTGACCTTAGTCTGAAGCGAGGACATGCACGAGTTTAACACTGTGTTACGTATCTGCTTGTTTGTTAATTTCCAGTAGAAATTCTCTCTTGATTAAACCAGTTTATTTTTTCTCCATACAAACTTTTAGTACACAGTAATTCCACAGTCAGTAAGTGTCTCGTCAACTTAAACTTAACAACTTTTATAATACACGCTATAAATCACAGCGATTCACAGTCTCGACAACTTCGCTCTCTACGAGTGCAAAACACACACTAGCTCGAAATAGAATCGTAAATTACCCGAAACTCACGTGACTACTGTTCTCTTAACCATACATTCATTGCCGTTGGCTTTTCTCGCCAAGAGGCTTCGCCAAAATTCGAGGAGTTCCCTGATAATTCGAGAAACTCAATCACGCATGTGCTAGCAGCGTCACGTGACTTCCGCTGTCGTAACAACTGCTTATATTGTGTTCATAAGGTAGTTTCCAAAAAAAAATATTAACATTGCACGAAAAGTGATGGAAAATATTCTTAAATATACCTGAATAAAGATATATTATCAACTAGTTTTTGGAGGGTAAAAAACCAGGTAATTTTCAACTGGCACACACCACATATTTACATGTATTTGTTAGATTATCAAAATGAAGTACAGTAGACTATGTGTTTTAAGAGAGAGTGTTAAATGCTTCTTTTTTTTTATTATTGTATAATCTATATTTACTGTATTAACGAAAACCCTATGCCTCAGATTTCATAACTCATCGGGCTCTTCTTTGGCCCTGTATACAAAGTTTTTGATCCAAAATTGAAACGTGTTTGGTGAAAATCATAAACAAATTACAAAATAATAGTACATGTTACTTTATAATACTAGGTGTTAATACTGTAGATTAAAGCATAACTACTTTATTGCTGAATCAACTAAATTCTCAGTTATGAACATTCTCAAAAACGTAAACTGTAACTCCGTAAAAATTATTGCTGTGCTGTTGTAGAATTTTGTGGATGATTTGATAGAAGCTTGAATACAGAATACTATCCTATAAAACAATCTCACCATTCTCTCATTAATATAACGAACTAACCTCGCAGTATTACAAAATATATGTATATGCATACATAGCCATTCAATGTTTGGAAATCATGATGTTTTGGCAGTTTAACAATGACCACTTCAACAATCCCATGCCATGTTATCATCCTACGGCGGGTCAGCGATAAATTTACAAACTTATAACCCTAAAATTCTGGGTTCGATTTACCGCGGTGGGCAGAGTGCAACTTGTCCATTGTGTGGTTTTGTATTGACAAAATAACAAAAAAAACGTAAAATAGTTAATTGACTTGTAATTATGAGACAATTATCACTTGAATTTTGACTTTAGAAAAACATATAGCATAAGTTTTAAGTAATTAATATATATTATGGTTATACAGAGTATCGTATTGAAAAAAATGTTTAAATAAATTGCTTTTAATTCTACACGAGAAAAAATATTTATTTTCTTTATTACCAACTTTTCTGTTTTACACTGCAGTTGCTTAATTTGTTAAACACAATAACAGTTGTTGATGTTCAAATGTTTAAGTACACACTATTTTATAGCTAGGCCCAATGAAGGGCGTGTGTTTGAAACGGGACAAAAGCGATGAATAAACCCAAAGTTTTGTTAAGATACTAAATGATCATTTTACTTTATTTGGTTGTTGCTACAGTTTTTCCACATTCTTTGTAGTATTTACTGTAGTATGTACGTAAAATACCCCACTCTGTGCTACTCAGTCTCGAAAGAAAAAAAATATTATCATTATATCGACCTAAAGGCAGAACTGTTTCATATTGTTACGTCTCCGTTTGTTAATTAACTTTCCGTAACTTCGTTCCGACGAAACTTTAGCGACACAAGCCCTTACTTAATAAAACTGGTTTATTCTTTCCGAATACAACTCTACCATACACTTATTTTCAACAATAGCGCTAAAACAAACGCTATAACTCTCAAAGAACGTCTCTCGTGCTCTCTGACTGCAGTTCAATTACTCGCTGTCTACACACACATTACATTACCGCGTCACGTTGTCCCCCTCTTATATATACCAGACTACCCTATCTAGTAAGTACTAGAGCATTCATGAAGGAACAAGATAGTTCTAGAAACTAGAGGGCGCCACACCAGTCACGTGACCTCGATGACGCAACAATATTGTTTGTTCATATATGTTATAAGCTTAGTTATATTATACTTATAATTCTTATAGATACATTTTGTTTTCGCTAAACTGTTGAAAATTATTTTTGCATTTCAGTTAGTACGATGTACAGAGTACACCAGTCAATGTCTAAATAGTTCGCCCTCTTAGGCCCGGCATGGCCAGGTGGTTAGGGCACTCGACTCGCAATCTGAGGGTCGCGGGTTCGAATCCCCGTCCCACCAAACATGCTCGCCCTTGTAGCCGTGGGGGCGTTATAATGTGACGGTCAATCCCACTATTCGTTGGTAAAAGAGTAGCCCAAGAGTTGGCGGTGGGTGGTGATGACTAGCTGCCTTCCCTCTAGTCTTACACTGCTAAATTAGGGACGGCTAGCGCAGATAGCCCTCGTGTAGCTTTGCGCGAAATTCAAAACAAACAAACTAGTTCGCCCGCTATTGAAAAGATTGCTTATGGGTCTATAGTGATAATACGCTAAGTTGGTTATGAAGCAAGAACAAATTTTTGAAGTATTTTAATTATTTAACAGTAGTAGGTTATCTCTATATCATTACTATTGTTACGGTTAGACATAAAACTTGAGGAGGTAAGCTGTTTATGTGAAATGTGCATAAATATATATATATATATATATATATATGTCGTTGACAGCTTTATATTATTTATTAACGTGATTCTTTGTAGATTATATTAGATTATTAAAAGTAAAACAATCATATAGTACGCACATATATAGTATAAATTATAATACTAATAGTTGTATCCCGTCCGCTCACACCGGGATTAAAATTTAAAGTTTGTTTGTTTGTAATTAAGCAAAAAGCTACACAATAGGCTATTTGTGCTCTGCCCACCACGGGTATCGAAACCCGGATTCTAGCGTTGTAAGTCCGCAGACATGCCGCTGTGCCGCTGGGGGGGGGGGCAAAATTCAAAGTAACAAAAGTAAAAGTTACTGAATTTTCTGTTCAGTTATAACTAATTTAAATTTTTACAGTAAATGTAACGTTTCATAAATAAATGAAAAATTAGCTTATTTGTAATGTAACATAGTGATGTGTTAATTCGAATTGTTATATTTAAAATGCTTGTTAATGTTAATTGAAATTAATTTGTATTTGTTGACTAATTCGAATATAGCAGATTAGCTATACTGACAGATTTCTAATGTATCATTAAATGAGCAATATAATTACTGTGTACTGCTAATAATGTATATTATATATTCAGGTTTTGTGATGTATGCGGTAGCCAGCGTAGATCACAACTGACATATATACATAAACTAGGTTACAAAGTTGTAAACTTTATTCTTTTACTGACTTTAGACGTCTTTACGTGTAAGTAATAGTACTACAACTGCTAGTAACACCAGTATTAACGACGTAGCATTAGTACAATAACTACTTAACTAGTTAGAAGTTATGTATGTGTATCCGTTAGACTAAAACTTGGAAGTTGATTACAATTTACATATATATATTACTTTTAGTTAGTTATGCCATATGGATGTTTGAAGCTATAATTATAACTATGTGAAATGAGCATATATATGTATTGTGTGTATATTATTTAGAATAAGTAATTATATCTACATTTTTATATCATACGTATTGCTTAGTATTAGCATTTTTTTTACTATTACAATTTACAATAATACATGAAAAGGACTCACTGTATGATAGTAAAATAACTACCCACATTTTGATGGAATAGATTTAGCACTAATTATACATTAGTTTTACATTTAATTCAATTTGAAGTTTTATGTGTTTCAACTATGGATCATAATGACTAGTTAGAAGCTTAAATATTTTAAAAGTAAATAAAGGTCATAATAGTAATTTGTTTTGAGGGTTCGTTCATATTTATTTAATATTCAATAATATATATACTGACTTATTTGTTTGTTTGTTCAAAAGAAAAGTTATATGTTACCCTGAATGGTATATGAATGAAGTTAGTAAATATTTTATGGAAGGCTTTACTTAAATATAAAGTGTAATATTAAGAAAATAAATTTGAAATGATAATTTTTGGAAAGTACTAAGCTTGTTCTAAAATCATTATGGATTATTAGAAGGTTACCAGTTTAATGTAGAGTAATGTATAGTAAAAAGAGGCTCTTGCTGAATTTTTGTGTTAAAAGTAATTCTATGATTCATTTTATAAGTTTAAAATATTGAGAATTCAAAATAATTATTGTCCATTTTTTTTCAAGGGTCATGTAGTGGCCCAAAATGGCAACTATATATATATATATATATATATATACTCTATTTTTCCATATGTCAAGTTCTGAGATGCTTAGGTGTTTGTTCACCATTTTTGAGGTCAAGGAATTTATAAGTGACACTTTCAGTGTACCAGAACTCTTTGAAATAAATGTAATGATCAAGAAACTATATTTCACAACTCGCTCAATATAACATAAAAAGTTTTAAAGAAAACAAGGGATCTTTTTGTCTCTCTAGGCCATCCCATACATACTTGCAATAAAATACAACTCAAAACCAGCACTTATCATTCAATTATTTATTAAGTCTTCCTTGAAACTACATTAAATTTACTTACAACATCTAAAGTTAAGCCATTCCAAAGGCAACCCACAGTGTAAGAAAACTAATACTGTCTTAGCTGAAAATGACTTCTGCCTTGTTAAAATGTATACTTGTGTCTGCTTGCCCTATCATTCTCACCATTAAGTATGAAAAAAGATAATGTATCAGGACAGTCGATTTATTTAACAATCTTAAATACCTAAATCAGATCCACCTTCTAGCTCCTCCTTTTTTCAAGAGAAAACAGTGTCAGTGATCTCAAAATGTCTTTGTACAACAACCTTTCCATCTCATGTATCATCCTAGTAGTCCTCCATTGAAAGAGTCTTCAAAATATTTTACCTTTGGTATCTTCAGTGGTAATGTTTCATTAACATTTTCATTTATTAATTAACAATTTTCCTTTTATTTAATGTGCATATTTGAATCAATCAATATATTACATCTGTGAACTTCATAATTATAAGTATTTAAAATTATTCTATAATAAATGATAAACATCAATTTCTTTATTTTGCTGTTAAGCTCATTTAGAGGTTGGTAACAGTGCTGCTGAAGTGAATGGACCACTAAACATGTATTAAGCAAACCAGCCATTTTCCCCATGCCATCTTGCCCTTGATAGCAGTGAGGAGTTGAAGTTAAATGCATGTATCTGTCTCGTAAGTAAACATAAAATTCCAGTTTGTTTTATGTAGGTTTACTTCATTGTTGATGTTGTGGTGAATGTTTCACTGTAGTTGATTGTTGCAAATAAGTCATATTTCTAGCACAAGTTCTCATTTGGAAATCACTTTGATGGTAGTCAATGCTTCATGGTCCATGTTGAGCTCACAGGTTCATCATTCACATAATATGATGGACATTACATATTCTAGTAAAATGAATGATCAGGCAAAACCGTGGATTAGAATATTGCTTCAGTGGTCAGGTAATAATCAGTGGAAATAATCCTGCTATGTATGCCATCTGTAGTAATGAGTATACTCAGACAAAACAAAATGTGTTGAAAATCTTGAAAACTGTAAAGCAGTTAAGAAATTATTGAATATAGCAAAGAGAGAGAGCATCTCTCAGACTCATGTTATATTGACTTGAGCAAATGATTGATAATTGCTTTGAAAGGTTTGTATTACCATTGTTATATAAATTTAGTTAACTCTGAAAAGCTAAAAAGATTGACAAAGTTTTGAAAAATAATTTGCTATTTATAACAAAAAGGCTATCAGCTAATATTAGTACTCTTGAAGGATTAAGAGACACAAACAAGATTGTACAGAAAAACAAGCATTTTCTGTCAATCTGATGATATATCTGATCTGCATATAGTGCAAATGAGCTCATTTGATCAAAGGGTAAAAGAAATTTCAACTAAGTTCAAAAATGAGAAATATGGGATGATTACAACCTGTTTTATGGAAATGCTTGATATCCAAGTATATGATTCCCAATATCAAAGGTGTTGTATTGTAAAAGAAGAAAGGAAATAAAACATATTCCTAATCAAGATAATCTTTACATTGTTGACCAGTAATTGCTTATGTTAAAAGAGTCAACATAATCAGGTATTCTTTAGACCAAGAGTATATTCTTTGAATGAATGAGCTGGATTAGGAGTACAAATATATTTTCCAGGAGAACAATGTGACTAGTATTTTTGAAATCCTTGACCCTGAAAATGGTGGTACTGACACTAAATCATGTTTCTAAGTGTGTTAGAACCCAAGATATTTAACATTATAGGTTATAAGTGGTAGTCATTTGGAAATCCAAGATGGCCACCGTAAGAATCGTAGAAAAAGAAAAAATGTAGAATAATGTCATTGAATTCTCCATATTCTGAAGTTATAAAATATAACATAAAATGACTTTTAACAAGACGATTGAGCAAGATTACCCTGGTTACTATACTAAAATGATATCTTCATGGATTGGGTGCTACTGGCTGTGAGGAAGATGCTACTGCTTTACAAAAGGATTTGGAGTATTTGATAAGTTGGATGAATAAATGGCAGATGACTTAATTGCAATAAGTGCAAGATTATACGTGTTGTGTCTAAAGAAATACTGAATACAAGTCAAAAGAGGTTATAATGTCAATGTATAGGTCATTAGTTAGGCTACATTTGGAATACTGTTTTCAGTTTTGAGCTCCTTACATTAGAAAGGACATTGAATTGTTTGAAAGGGTTTAGAGGAGGGTTATTAGGATGATACCTAGGATGGAAAGGGTGTCATACAAGGATAGGTTAAGATCTATGAACTTCCTTTCTCTTGAAAAAAAAAGAAAAGTTAAAGAAGAGATGTGATTCAGATGTTTAGGATTGGTAAAGGAATTGATAGTATTGATGCATCATCTTTTTCATATTGATGAGAATGGTAAGACTCAGGGACACAAATTTTAGCAGGGTAGGAATCATCTTCAGCTGAGACAGCTTTATTTTTTTAACAGTGTGGTTGGACATTGAAATGAGTTGCTTTCAGTTATTATAGATGTAGTTAATTTATGGGAGCTTAAGGAAATACTTGATAAGTATTTGGATGATAAGGGCTAGCTGTGAGTTGTTTTTTTTATTTAGCATGTAGTTTATTTTAGAGGATAGGATGGCCTAGGTGGACCAAAGGATCCCTTGTCGCCCTTTAATGTTATATGTTATAACTGGTTTAAATTGTTTGACATAAAAACATAGATTTAAAGTTTTGAACAAACATGCATTCTCAGAACAGGATGCATGAAACATGCACACAACTAATACTATAATGGTATATGAAATTGTGGAACATTTGATATTTTTGCCCAAGTTTTGATGTATATTTGTCACACTGTTACAAATCTGAATCGTTATTTAAAGTATGTTCCATATTATTAGCAAATCATCAGTAATCATCATTAGTTTTTTTTTCTAATATTTTTGAGAGGTACAGAATACAGTGTATAGTTACTGTCATTTTTCCCTAGAGTAAATACTAATGACTTAAGTAGCATAACAAATATTTCAGTAGGATAACACATCTATAGGTTATATTAGCAGCATGTTTTGTGATGTAATAACTATTATTTTATATACATTTTTTTATATTTTGGTTTGTAAATTTTTGAAGTGTTATTTTTTGTTAATTGTCTACTTGGCACCTTTTTTATTTGTCAACTTAGTTTTTATTACTCCTTCTTCAAAATCACTACATGTACATCTACTACCTGTATTATCACATACAATTGCATTATCAGATTTGTATCATCTCATTCATTTCACCACTTCATATTTGGTAAAAAAAAATTAAAGTGCTTGTTATTGCCTTTTTTTTATTGTGTTTTTCATTATTATTGAACTTTATTTAAAAAAGAAACAAAGTCAAACCTCTACTTATTTTACATTAAGTATCTGTTGAATCTAGTTTTGTGTATTTGCAACATATTTTAACATAGTATAATGTTTTGGGACAACATGAGACCTACTGGTCCATCTCAGGTATCCCATCCTCTAAACTAAACTAAATCTCCCTGTCTTTAAGTTCATTATTGCACTTGTCTGTCACTATCCAAGTTTTAAAGATCATTAGGTATACCCATGGTTTAACAATATATTTTTAACATGTACAGCTCACTCAATCATGTTAATGCTTGCAGAAAATACTGTTTCAATTTGTAATTATACGATGAAATCATGATGAATGACCATTTTTAAAAATACGCTTACTGCTTTCCTAAAAACATTAATTTTTTTACTTCAGTATACATTAGTAAAGTTTGTAGACTTATTAGAACATCCCATTGTTCCTGTAGTTTTTTTGTACTTATTAATAAAACCATTGTAGTTTAAAGTGTTGAATAAAAATGTCAAAAAAGGCAAATTATTAGCACTCTAATTTTGTCCATGTTTTTAATATGTGCCCTCCAGTGGCACAGTGGTATGTCTGCGGATTTACAATGCTAGAAATCGGGTTTTGGTGGGCAGAGCACAGATAGCCCATTGTGTAGCTTTGTGCTTAACTTCAAACAAACTTTGATATGTACAAATTTAATTAATTTAAAATTTCAAGAGATTCAAAGCAACACAGCTGCAAATGATTAAGTGTCATATATTTTTTAAAAGTGGTTCAAATTGTTTAAATACAAAGCAGTGCAACATTTTCAAACACGATTGCCTTTAGTTTCTGTACCAATGATCAAAGACAAAAATACAGTTAATATAGTGTAATGTTGTCATAAAAATGCTATAACATAGAGAACCAACATCCTTTGACAGAGTCAAAATCAAATCCTTGCATGATGGTGGCTGGAGTTTTAATAAAAATTGTAAAAGACCTTTAGAGTTCACCAAGTCTGTGAACTCAGAAACCCAGTTCTATACTGTGAAAAAAGGTTGGGGTTGGAGAAAAAGGGCCACTGAAACAGATGTTAAATATCTAAAAATCATTTCCCTGAGAAAGTGACAGAAAAACTGAAAAAAACCTCACTGGTGACATGAACAAGACAGGTACAGATAAGGTTTGGAGAAGTACACTCTTAAGAATACTGCATAAATGTGGTCTTTGGGGAAGAGTAACAGCAAGAAAACAAGATAATATAGCAAAGAAATGAGCTTTTGTCACATAATATTTACACCTGTCTTTGGAAAAGTGGTACAATGTGCTTTGGACAAATAACTTTAAATTTGAAATGTTTGGCTCCTACTGGCTTGCATATGCTTGCTGAAGAGTCAAAGAAAGGTCGCAGAAAGAGTGCTTTGTGCCAAAAAGAAGCATATAGAAGGCTCAAGGATAATTTGGAGAACAATATCTATGAAACTTCTATTTTCACAAAATTGATGAAATCATGGATCAGTATAAATAATAATAATGTATTACTCCATCATGCTATAATATTCCCTCTTAAAATAAGCTGAATGGTCAAACTTTAATATTTCAAAGAGGACCTCAGACACATTCAAGAAATATCAAGCTTACTTTGCAGAGAAAGAAAACTTAGGAGATCTCCAGCAAATGGAATGGTTGTCACAAGGTCCAGATCTTAGTTCCATAGAAAAAATCTGGCATTTACTGGGCTCCATGTTTAAAAAAGTACCAACTATATTAAAGAAAGCCTATTCACACAGCTTCAAGAAAATTTTTTTTTAAAATGACACCATACAATGCCAAAAAAATGCCAAGTTGTTATTGGTACCAATGGTGGTCACATTAAATATTAGCATTAAAGAAACTTAAATTCAAAAATATTATTTATGTACTAATTTTGTAATAGTTTCCTTTAAGATTAATTTGCAATAATTACAGTTTAATTTGTATAACAAATTTATGACTAATTTTGTTTGTAGAATCCATAAAAATAAATTTGCACACTACTGTTTGTCTAACACAGGGCAAGCATATAAAAACAAATATGAATGATAATATGTGCACTTGTTAATTGGTGCATTCCTTTCATTCGTCAACCAATAGCTGTATTGCTGTGTGTTTTGCTGTACTGGCAGAAATAGTTATTTTTAAACAATGAATCAACTGCATGTTGATGTAGTCATATGTAAATTGTCTCTACCGGTCACCGTGTTAAAATATTTGTCAGAAATAGTTCATAAGTCACCATTTTGCGTACACTCAAGTTACACACTCAAATATAAACTGTGTTTATGTAAAGTATTGGAAATAGTTATGAAAACACATA